TGACCTTGGTGTTACAACACCACACTCTAACCACCTGGGCTAACAGGCCAGCCCTTTTTTTTAAAAAAAATAGAAGATTAAACCAAGAGATATTCACTTTAATGGTATTTTTTTACATCTTGCAATACTATGATTGAAGGTAGATATTTTCATCATGTTATCTAAAATCGCTTAATTAAGAATACACAGAATATACTCATTCCTTTAATAGGTGATAAGTAAAAACAAATCTTTTGCAAGATAAACTTGTACCCTTTCATGTCTCAGACTATAATTATTACATAAATCAGCATAGTGCTATTTTCCCCTTATTTACCAGGAAAACAAAAGTAGAATTCAGGCCCAACTGTAGTGATCAGTGTGCGTTAGATGTAGAGTAACATTAATTTCTCTGCCCGTTATTATATTTTGTTGTAAAAATGCTTGATGGTTCTGTTTTTTTATCTTTAATTATTTGTTGCCCTAATTTTTTTCTACATTAGGCAAAATATAAAATTTAAATAAAATATATGTATGAAAGATTAATTTAATTCAGTACAGGAAAACAGGGTGTATCGTCTTTATTTAACTCAGTTTCCTTTTATTTTCCCAATGATGAGGGTTTTTTATATAAGCTAGAGGTTTGGGAAATTATAAGCATTTTACGGAGGTGATCCTTACTTGGGATGGGCAAGAATTAAGCAACATGTAGTAAAATATTCTTTGATGACAACACAAATACTGTTATCCTTTCCCTACTTAACAATGTAAACAGCACACAACAAAGTCTTTTAATAATACAAAATGACTGACATGGATATGGACTTGACCAAGAACAGGATTTACAAAGTTCAAATTCACAAAGACCATATATATATATATATAAGAAAAGAGCATAACAATACTCTGTCGTATGAAAATTTTCTCTGTATTTATTATGTCAAAGAAATGGTTTGTATAGACTGAATGTTTGTGTCCCCCCAAATTTCATATGTAAAAACTTAATTCCCAATGTGATGGTATTTGGAGGTAGGGCTTCTAGGAGGTGATTAGTAGATGAAGGGTCCTTATGTAAGAGGTCGTGGAGAGCTCCATTCCCGCTTCCACCCAGTGAGGATGCAGTGAGAAGGTGGCCGGCTCAGAGCCAGGAAGCAGGCCCCCACTACACGCCTGATCGGCTGGCACCCTGATCTCGGACTTCGTAGACCCAAGAACGGTGAGAATTCAATTTGTTGTTTATAAGCCACCCAGTCTGTGATATTTGGTTATAGCAACCCATACAGACTAAGATAATGCTTAATTGCTTAGGTGTGAAAGCACTTGTCTTTTCTTAACTTTTAATCAAATAATAATTCTTTGGATACAGTATTCTTAAAATGTTAGGCACAAATAGCCAAACCATCTTACGTATATATTTAACTGTCTGGAATGTTTTTCTCCAGTCATTCATTCCAGATTTTCTCTGATTTGGTCTTGCTCTTTGTGGTGTGAACCAAAGGAATCACAGCCAAAGAAAACTCATATTCAGCAGGAGAGATGGTAACAAAGCTTCGTTTAACATCCCTAAAACTACAGGGAAACCACCTCAGAAAAACTGAACTATATCCTGCTGGCCTCAATATCCACTTACGGAAGAATCAAACTACACATTTTAACAAGAAAACAATCTAAAAATCTATGTGATTCATCTTATGCTTTCTAAAGATCTTTTCTGTACATGGATTTGCTGATTTTTATCACAACCTGGTTTAATGATTATATTGACTGCTGAAATGCATATGAGTGATCTGAGCTTTACAGTTGAGGTAATTTTGCATAAGACCAAACACATAAATAGCTAACAAAATTTCTTTATAATTTATAATAACTTTGAGGTGTTTATAGAAGAAATGTATTTCAAGAATATAAACCATAATTTGTATTAAATAATTTTATAGATATTGATAGAATAGTGTCTATATCCAAAATCTTTATTTAATTAAAAAGTCTAATTTAAAAGTAATGCTTTTTACTAAGTATATAAAAACTCCTCAGAACCACATGAGGTGACCAAATCAAAAGGTAGATATGTTTTCAGCTGCACACAATCACCAGAAATTCTCCCTCCATATTAATAGACTCTAGTTTGCTACTAAAACTTTCCTCTGAGAAGGTCTGGCGCTACTCCTGGAGTTTTCTTTTGGCTTTAGAGTGGCTTTCAATCTAGAGATTGGGGAATATGGATTTCAATACTTACTAACTTTGCTTCCTTCCAGGTTGCTTGCCTTGAGAACTTATGTGTCAGAACTTCAAAGTTACCTAGAATTAATTTGCTTCTGCCAATCTTCTAGAAATGGCTAAACCTAGAACTACAAAAAGCATCCAGAGCCCAAAGTCCATAAACTCTAGAATAGCACCTAAGTGACAAAATTTTGTAAAATTCTGATATAGCTTACTAAAACAAATAATTGAGACGTTTTTTGCTTTTGAGAACTTACACTATGTATTCAGATAATATTCTTTTTCACTTTCTCTGGCATTTTTCAGAAATCAATTCCAAGTTTATTGTATTCATCAGATTAAACATCAAAACAAGAATATTTTCATATTTCCAAACCTCGGATGTAGTGAGTTTCTGAGATTCAGTCCTGTAGATTCCAATGGGGACATCTCCGGTAGAAGAACACAACTTCTGATAAAGTCTAGCATAAGTTCTGATCCATAAGTCATCCTCAGTGATTTTCATCTATAACAGATATAAATTATTTACATATTAGATGTTTAAAAAATATTAAGCCCAGTGGTTATTTTTTACTTGCAAAAGGCAGAATTTATTAATATTTTGAAATCTCAAAGTAATATTTTATTAAGTGTTTATATATTAACTTTATTTATTGTACTCTATCTCAGCTTATCCTGGAGATTCAGCCAAACATAAGAAATCCACGTACTCAATTTGAGGCAGTATGACATTGTATTAATTCAATATCAGTAGGCAATAGGGCACTAGTAATTGACTGGGAGATGTTGTAAACTACATGGAGACTTTTTTGAATGGTGCAATAACTGGAGTAACTTAGTGGACAGGGTCTGCTGATGCTACAAAACTTAAAGTACAAAAGGCACTCCAGTACAAAAAATACTTGTCTCACTCAGTGTTCTAATAGCACCCATACTGAGAAAATTCGGTAGTAGAATAAGCACAGGTCTAAGAGTTAGGAAACCTGAGTTCTAATCCCTCTTTGCTGCTTGTAAATCTGAACTGTTAGCAAATCATAGTATACTCGTTTATAAAACAAAGGGGTTAAACTGTATGATCACTGTTTTCCTACCAAGTATGGCATCCTATGCCTAAACCTATCAGTCCCAAATTGCCAGCTAGGAAAAAACAAACAAACAAACCACAACTTGTTCTGAATTTTGTACAGAATGAGTATTTAATATGATTATTAATTAAAATAATATGTTTTCTTCAAAAAGTTTTTAAGAAATTAAAAAAACTCAAGTGAAACACTTTGGATACACATTAGAAAAAATAATAGAAAAAATAATATATGACATAGAAGACTTAGCCAAAGTACAAAGTAGATGAATTTCAGAACCTTTTATCTAAACAATCTTCCATTCCATTGATTTTGGACTTACAGAGCAAAGAAACCCCGATCCTGGTGTAGTGTCCAGTCCCAACAGAAGTCTGGTGATAGAAATCATATAATCCTTCACAAATGACTGCAATATAAACAAAGTATGTGTTTTTATATGTATGATATGCTTAGAACAGCCAGGAGTGTGAACTTCTAAACACTTCTAAAAGGTTATTTCTCATAACACATCATTAAATCTATGTAAAAATGAAATAATAAACTATCTTGTCAGTGACCTAAATAAACCTGTACAGTTAACGCTGTTTGTAAGGAAATATAGGAAGTAATTATTATCTAGAAATATCTTGACATGCTTACATTTTATGTGTGCTACTAGGCATGATAAATACATTTTTAGATATTTTTGTAAAAAATACAAACGGAATTAAAATGGTACATATCATAAGAACTTGAAAGAATAAAATTAATTTGTAATGAAATATTTCAACCATTTTTTGTTTTTAGGATTAAGCTCTATGTTAATAAAATAGATTTCTAAACTACATTTACCACTTATTTTTGCATGTACTTTCTTTCCACACCATTCCATGCTAATTGTAGCCTTTTATTTTATTTTATTTTTTTTTCCTTTTTGTCTTTTTTACTGAACAGTAACGGGATCGCAACCCTCGGTGTTGCGCCCGCACTGCGCTCAGCCAGTGAGCGGGAACCGGTCTCCACATGGGATCCGAACCCTCGGCGGGAGCGCCGCCACGCTCCCAAACAGCGCACTCTCCAGTGCGCCACCAGGCCGGCCCTAATTGTAGCCTTTTAAAAAAAAATTTGAATCATCACATTTCCCTCAAGTGACAGTACATCTTTTATATTGACAAGTTTGAAAGCTAGAACACAGTCTTTACAGATACATAGACAACTTTACTAATAAAAAATTAAAGAAAATGTGATTGAAAATCATTACCAATAGTTCAAGAACCATTAGCAACCTATCAAAAGCCCTCCTGAAGAGAAATTATTCTCTGGATTTTACTAATTCTGATGTCTGCAAATTAACTGTTTTTTAAACAAGTCACAATACAGTGATGGGTTAAAGCTGGTGAATTTTTAAAATGGAATAGAATACATTTCATTAACATACAAAATAATACAGCAATACCAGCAGAAAGGGTAAGTGTTGTGAGATTTCTGTTTGTAATACACACACACATAAAAGCGCATGTTGGATTGAAATACAAAATATACTTTTACTCTGTTTCATTTTAAGAACTTCAAAAACTATAGTTCTAGTTTACTCTTTGTGCAGAAGCTTCACAAAAAACCCAATTTCCTGTATCTTTACTCACAGCATAAAATTTGAAGCAAAAATGAAGAGGAAGAAAATACTGCTTTCCACTTCTGCAAAACAGTTTTCTATTTAACTTATATATTAGACTTCCTCATGAGACCTCATTTAAACATAAGATACTGTGGCTAAAAAAAATCGAAAAACCACTGGTACATAATAACATCCAAGCATTTGGCTGCTATTGATATAAAATTTTCAGTTTCAACATTACTCTTGAAACCAGCCCTACCCTGCAGTCTAATCTCTTTAAATTACAACTATCTGTGTGTTGTGTTAATGGTGTTTAAGGTGGGAGCCTTCCCTCCTGGAGTTCTCAGATAATGGGTCTAAAACTTTAGGGCAAATAGGAGTATTTATTCTCCCTGTGTTTGTTCTGGCACTTATCTGACAGAAGCAGATGGTTTCTGACATTGCTAGAGGCATATTCATGGGCAAAATTAGCCCAAAGGCCAGCAGAAAAGCTTTAACTATTTTGAGAGTAGTTTATTCAGCCAAGCAATCATAGAAGAGGGTACTTAAATACATAATCAAAAAGAACAGGTACAATAAAATGCGTAAAAGCTTAATTTAAGATTAACATTATCAAACAATTTAAAGCCCTATGAATTTCTTCCTTTCCCTAAAAATATTTAGATATTGTCTGATTACTTGAATCGGAGAATATTATATATTACTACTGTTCAGTTTGTGGTAGAGACGAAAAAGAGTACATTACAGCCGTGTGAAAGAGCATCTCCCTGAACCTCGCAGCTATGATAAAACGACACTGTTAACTCGGCATTCAGGAACAAACTAAGTGGTACTTGGCTGTTGTAAAATCTTTTTTATATTTTTTGAAAATAGGCAAAATTAGCAGATGCTTAAAATGTCCTTGGTTTATCAGTTTTATGACATCAATTTGGTATTTTATGCCAAACCTGAAAAAAATGTGTACTATGAGAAATGATGACTTTTTATAACCTAGTATTTTTTTCTTTTCCTTATTTTAAATCTAGTAATAGGTTTGAAATAATATGCAAAATGTATTAAAATGTCACAATAAATACTGCAGGGCACTGCCACCAAAGAATGCCTAAAAGTAATTTTCATAGATTTTTAAAATAATATTTTTCTTACAAAATATTTTATAGGCACATGTATGTTATTAAGTACATGAAATAAAATATTGAATTACATTCAGAGCCGATTTTAAGTTAACAGCTCCATGAAAGACACTAGAAATAGTATTTATTTAAATAAAATCTAAATGAAATAACAATTTTAGAAAAAGAAAAGAAATATTACATACCTGATACAGAAGAGTGTCCAACATACTGATGCTGAACACCCTCCCAGCAGCAAAAGGCAGACGAAACATAAAGGCCAGATTAGAACCTCTCTCCCGTTCTTTCTGTTCAGAAATTTGAGGTATAAAAACTTGTGAGCTTTTATGCATTTCTGCCTAGGTAAATTTTCTTAGCACATGTGAATAAAGATATTCTCAGTATATGGTTCTTAGCTATAAATGCATCATTACTTCATTTGTAATTGTATTTTTAAAACATGCTTTTAATTTTTATAACCAAATTTTCCTAATCAATTTAAAAACTCAATTGTTAAGAAAAGTTAATCCTTTCATAATTAAATATTTACTTTTTCATATTTATTTACTTTTCATATATATTTCCAAAATGGCTTGAGGTGACAAAATAAAAGAAACAGATAAAATAAAAATCATATAATCAAATGTAAAAATTACTAAAGTGACATAATGTATCATAACAGAAGATTTACTTTTAAGTATTCTCAAATCTTTAAAAAAAATTGCTATGGTCTGAATGTTTGTGTCCCTGCCAAAATTCATATGTTGAAATCCTAACCCCCAAGGTGATGGTATTAGGAGCTGCAGCCTTTGGGAAGTGGTTAGGTTATGAGAGTGGAACCCTAATGAAAGAGATTAGTGGCCTTATAAAAGAAACCCTAGAAAGACCCTCACCCATTCCACATGTGCTATCTATGAACAAGAAAGCTGGCTTTCACCAGACACCAAATTTGCCTGCACCTAGGTCTTGTACTTCCCAGTCTCCAGAACTGTGAGAAATAAACATCTGCTGTTTGCAAGCCACCCAATCTATGGGGCAGCCGGAACAGACTCAGACATTAACTAGTCACTAGCTTTCCTTCATCTTAGTTTCATGTCTCCATCTGCCTCTTAAGTTGTGCCAGCCACACCAATGTGCAGCTAAGCTTCTGTAAATTACATGCACAAATGTGTTTATGTGTACATGTGTGTGTTTGTTATGACGTATGGTGGTTTCTTTTTTAAATTCCATATGTGTACATGTTTGTGTTTGTTATAACGTATGGTGGTTTCTTTTTTAAATTCCATTGCTATTATCTTCCCTTAATAAATGAAGACATGAAAGCAAATGTCAAATTTGTTTAAGTTTGGAAGGAGCTTCTTAAGAATGTGAGTTAAACTTGTACTTAACAAACAGTAACCTCAAAAATGCTAGTAAAGGGCATGAGGAAAAATCACGATTTGTAATAATAATATGCTTATAATAAATAATATTGAAAATCAAAAATAAATGATTAAATCTTTAAAAAGCCATATTTTTTAATTTAATAAACTCCACATTATCAATTAAAAATAAATGCTAGTTTCTTTTGTTGCCAACTTTCCTTTACTAGGAAAGTAAAAAGCCATATTTTTTAATTTAATAAACTCTACATTATCAATTAAAAATAAATGCTAGTTTCTTTTGTTGCCAACTTTCCTTTACTAGGAAGGATTGATACAGCTAAGCAAATAAGAAGTCAACCTTTACTTTTGAGGCAACAGAAGTAAGCCACTACTTCTAATGTAGCAAATTTGAGGGTCCCACAGGAAGGGAAGCCTCCCATCTCCCCACGCTAAGAATGGGAGAGAGGGCGTGCCACTCAAGGGAAGAGTCTTGGAGATAAACTTTGGCAACTGCTGTTCCTGGTTTTGATGATGATATGAGAGTGGCTTGACTCCTGGACGTTCCCTGGACAAACAGATGAGGTCGACATGGCTTAACAATAGCCAGGCTGAGGAGCAGAGGCCTTATTTCCAGCACTTGCATGGTGTCTATGTAGGTAAGCAGCCTGTCCACACTGTAAGAATATCCTCACTCGATATGGAGGGAGAAGGTAGGGTGAGAGACAGGCATGTGCTGCCCCATTTTTTGCCCATGTCCATTACATCATAATATTCTCTAATGTATTAGCCTAGGTGTCAGGAGTGTTTAAAAAGCTCATGGAAAAGATTCGTATTATCATTTAATTCTATTTTTCTGTGAACTTTTTGAAGTACCCTCATATATATATGGTGGGGTGAGGATCAGGGGTGCCCAAGGGCAGGCACAGATGGAGATCCAGATCAGCTGAGAACACTGAGCAAATTTCAACACGTAGAAGAAGACATGGTATAAGACATCATCTGAAAATCAATTAGGATAAATACTGAGAAAAGCCTTGATTTAGAAATTACAACATGATTCCAATCCCAGCCTGCTCTCTGCTCTCTCAGTGTATAACCCTCTAGTCTCCGGCCTTCAACATAATCTTATGTTTTACTAAAATGAATTCCCCATCATGCTGAATAATCTTCTAACTAATAAATCAGGGTCAAAATTACTAACTAGTCAATCAGAAAATCTCTGACCCTTTCCCTCCTCAGTCCATCCATCAAATTTCCAAATTTTATCACTAATCCATGTAATTATCTTATTATTTCCTCTTCTACATCCTACTGCTACAACATTTGTCAGGGCTTAAATCTACTATTAATTTTCCAATTTCAAGTCTTTTGTCACTCTAAATCACCCCACACAGTGCTGCCAATTAATCTCACTAACAATTCTGACAATGTCATTTATTGTTCCTAAATCTAAGCTCAGTTTACCCTACAATCAGATTTTCAGGACATGACTGAACACAGAGGCAGAACTTCTGTGAAAAAGCAATACTTCTTCATGAAAAGGGATTGTCCTAGGAATGTCCTGGCAAACAAGATCAAATCAATGACAAGCCTAGCGGATCAGGGTGAGTGATATTTGGTGTTTAATGGTTTCTTTCACTTGGATTATCCCTGATCAATAATTGTCTGACCGAGAAGGTACATTTTCTAAATCCAGTGAAGTGCCTGCTAACTTTAATAAAGACCTAACTAACATTTAAAACTTTCTCTTTACTATTCACCTACATTCATGTGATACTACAGTTCGATCACATTATATAGCACATTTACTTTTCCAAAACAAAACATTCTTTGGTTCAATTACATTCCCAATTCACACATTATATTTTCAAACACAGAACTGTTACCCTTTGGAAATGAATCCTTCCTATCTCCACACATCCGAATTCTATGGATAAGCATCATTTTATAACAAAAATACTAATTGAAAGTAATTCTGTTCATTATTAAAGGACCCAAACACCAATGTATTCATTTATTTATTAAATTAGTTATGTAAATATGTGTGAGAAGCTACTTTATGTAGGGCATTATCCTTAGTGCTAGAAATACAGAGTTCCTATATAGAGCTAATAAATTCTTAGTAGTTAACAAAGAATTATTATGTGTTGAATATGGGCCAGGCATTAATACACAAAGAAAGAATTCATAAAACCATGAGTGGTACCTATAGCAAAACAGGCAAAAACGCTGGGATNAATTTCCAAATTTTATCACTAATCCATGTAATTATCTTATTATTTCCTCTTCTACATCCTACTGCTACAACATTTGTCAGGGCTTAAATCTACTATTAATTTTCCAATTTCAAGTCTTTTGTCACTCTAAATCACCCCACACAGTGCTGCCAATTAATCTCACTAACAATTCTGACAATGTCATTTATTGTTCCTAAATCTAAGCTCAGTTTACCCTACAATCAGATTTTCAGGACATGACTGAACACAGAGGCAGAACTTCTGTGAAAAAGCAATACTTCTTCATGAAAAGGGATTGTCCTAGGAATGTCCTGGCAAACAAGATCAAATCAATGACAAGCCTAGCGGATCAGGGTGAGTGATATTTGGTGTTTAATGGTTTCTTTCACTTGGATTATCCCTGATCAATAATTGTCTGACCGAGAAGGTACATTTTCTAAATCCAGTGAAGTGCCTGCTAACTTTAATAAAGACCTAACTAACATTTAAAACTTTCTCTTTACTATTCACCTACATTCATGTGATACTACAGTTCGATCACATTATATAGCACATTTACTTTTCCAAAACAAAACATTCTTTGGTTCAATTACATTCCCAATTCACACATTATATTTTCAAACACAGAACTGTTACCCTTTGGAAATGAATCCTTCCTATCTCCACACATCCGAATTCTATGGATAAGCATCATTTTATAACAAAAATACTAATTGAAAGTAATTCTGTTCATTATTAAAGGACCCAAACACCAATGTATTCATTTATTTATTAAATTAGTTATGTAAATATGTGTGAGAAGCTACTTTATGTAGGGCATTATCCTTAGTGCTAGAAATACAGAGTTCCTATATAGAGCTAATAAATTCTTAGTAGTTAACAAAGAATTATTATGTGTTGAATATGGGCCAGGCATTAATACACAAAGAAAGAATTCATAAAACCATGAGTGGTACCTATAGCAAAACAGGCAAAAACGCTGGGATGAGTTTAAGTAACAGTTCTACAGTCACAGATACTTTGGAAGGGCACCTACCTTATCCTTTTGGTGAAAAAGTGAGAAGCTGAATTGGAGGTGATGTCTAAGTTGAGACCTATAATTGAGTAGGAATTAGCCAGGAAATCTGGGAGAGTGAGTGATAAGTAGAAAGTTATAAACAGAAGGCCCAGCACGTGCTAGAACCTGAAAGTGTAAAAAGCCTGAAGACTGGAGGAACTAGAAGCAATTCCATAAGATGACAGCATAGAGTCTGAGCGTGTGAGCTGGAAGGAGAGGTCAGAAATGGGACTGGAGCAGGCACCACGGAACAGACCTTAAAGTACCAGCGTACTTTTGACAAGAAAGGGGATGCCGTTAAGAATTACACCAAAGAACAATGATCTAAATTGAAACTGTCCCAGGATTAACAGTACATATGGTCACCCTACATTGAAAGCACGTGAAGGACTTTGAATTTCATCTTAAGGACAACGGGGAAAACTAAAGTATTTCTAAGAGGAGGAGTGATATGATCATATTTTTAGGATGCTCCCTTTGATGACAATGTGGAAAATGGATTGAGAATGAAGAGGGCATGGGAAGTGCTATGGGTTAAATATGTCCCCAAAAGCTCATGTAATAGGAACTTGAACCTCATTTTAACAGTGTGAAGTGGGTGAGAAATCCAATTACGGTATTTGAAAGGTGGGGCCTTTAATAGGTGATTA